GCCCACCCCAAAGCTAGCAAAGGAAATCCCGGGTCCTAGTACTTAGGAAATGCTCTACAGTGGTGGTAGTGAGAGTACCTAATCCATTCATCCGTTCCCTATTAGAATCTTCAATTTCTAAGTTAGGAACTTGAGGCACAAACCACAGAAGTCCTTGCTGAAGGTTAAGGCTGCTCAAAGCCAAGGCAGTTTAGCGCATTTCTTGACCAGCATGACTTCTCCAAGCCTGGATGTGACTCTCCAAGGGGAGGTTCGGCCATGCTCTCAATACTCCCCAAGGTAACTTCAAGGGCAAGTGCCCATAGATGCACCGCTGCTCCAAGGGCTGTCGAGGGAAAGCTGATCCCGGTAGACGGCACCCAGAGACTGTTACAACACTGTTGGAGGCACAGGTTCCAGAGCTCTAGACTTGAAAACTAAGAATGGAATTTATCACTGCTCAAGGGTATACACATGCAGGACAGTCACATCCACTCACCAAATGCCAGCCCTAAAGTTCTGGGATCCGAGCAACCCACCATCAACATCTTAACTGTCCTTGGGTCCTCATGCACAGAGCCTTCTAGGCTGCCGTCCATCTCATTCCACCTTGTAACATCCAAAGCCCTGGACCCCAAACTTCAATCAGACTCAAATAGGTTGTTAAAATCCTAACAGCAGAGCTGAAGGTCTCCTACGGGCTCAAAAATTCTATCAGTTATGAAATAGGCCCATCAGAGGCCATAGTTTAATGAATCAAAAGGAATATAAATTCAGTGCTTTCAGAAGCTAAGCTAGCTGCCACTTCCAAGAGACCTGCTAAGTGCCAGCCATCTGCCCGGGCACTATATATCCATTATTGCCAACACTCCTTGTAATAATTCTACAAACAAAAAGTATCTTCACGCTCCTTTGACAAATGAGAACATCAAGGCTTAACCTGACTGCCAGCCACAGGTGCCCAGCTTGTGGGCATGAGTTCCAGTCCTGAACTTGGGTATGTCTGACTGCAGTCCGTGGTGTACTAACGGGTTCCTTTCCATCAAGCGAGCCAGGAGTAAGAAGCACAGGGCAACGAGGGCAGGTCAGCTGCTGCTCCCCCGTGACTGGGACCTGAGAACTTCTCCAAGGCCATCCCAAGTGAGCTCATCACAAAGGACTATCTGAAGGTCATCCAGCGCAGCCGGTCCTGGGACAGGATAAACGAAATAAGGCACCGAGGCCAATTTGGAATCAAGAGATTCAAGGCGTTGAAGCTGCAGCCCTGATTGAATGTGCCTGGCCAGACCCAGGGTAATTACCAAGCCGTAATGGGATCTGATATTTATACTGTATTAGTCACGAGCCTGATAGAGCAAATGTGTTGTTTTCTCAGACACAGCCATGGAGACACCACCTCAATAATTCATTACAGGCAGACCATCCTTGATCAAGCCCAAACTCCCGCAAAGACAGCAGCTCAGAGAACAGCAGGCCCCACAGCAAACCAGCCCCATCAAGTCACTGGCCTCAGTTTCCCCAGACATTCACAGGGAAGCAGACTGTATACCAGAAAGTGATCAGAAGAAAAGGGCAGAGATATGTCACTAGGTCCAAGGCTGAGTCCCTGAAGGGATTGCTAAACTAGAAACTTTACCCCAGGTCAAACCCCAGAGCAGGAAGGCACAGGAGAATGTGCAGATTCCAACATTCACATTTTACAAGGAAGGAAAGACAGCCCAGAGAGGGAAAAGGACTTCTTCAAAGTTGAGCTCTTATTCAAGTTTGGCAGTATTTTCCCAGACACAATCATGCAACCACAAAATGCATCCGTCCCGATTCACTATAATCAGCGATGGGACTGGACCTCAAAATGTCAAGGCCAAGCGTACAGAGAACACTGATGAAATCCAACAGGGGGAAAAAAAAACAATAATGTGAAAAAGTACAGCAAAGAACACAGTACTGGAATGATTACGCCCAAGTTCTCAACCAAGAGAAAACATAGTAAGCTTTTCTCTTTACTTCCTAAAAAAAAAAAAAATTCCACATTCCACTCTTTTCAAAAATAACATCCTAAAGTCCCTGGTTACATGCTATTTGGAGGCCAAAGGTACTGAGCCAGAGACTCCTTGTGACATATCAACGGTCTCAGGTTTCTCTGATCAAAAATGATGGTACAGTCCTAAACCAAATGCATGTGATTTCAGAGCTTCCTGCTGAAACTTCTCTGCTAGAAATTTCAAATGTTGCAAAGGCCTGCTTTCCCTGGCATCCTGGCTGCCGCTCAAACCAGTGTTGGTCTACATTGGTGGAGGCACATCTAAGGACGGGTAAAGGGCTGCAGAAAGGCAGCTGAGTTTTGCTCAAGAAAGTTAAAACTAAAATAATTGCTCTCAACTTGAGCCAAATACTTCCTTCTGCACCAAGTCTCGACAAAACTATCAAATACTTGGAACGCAAAAAGAATGAAGGACCCAAAAAACAACTGTAGAAAGAATGTAGACCTCGGGGGTAAGCAGAAGCTTATAAAAGGCCTGACTTACCATCACTGACCGTAAGGGCCCAGCTACTCACGGGTTAGTTAAAGAAATCAAAGGTAGTTATTAAGAGATTCCGGGGCTGGGAATTTAGCTCAGTGATACAGCGCCTGCCTGGCAAGCACAAGGTCCTGAGTTTGACTCCAGGTACAAAAAAAAAGCCACTTTATTAAGAGATTCTGGGCCCATATTTAAAATGAACTCACAATATCGAAAATAACTTGATCTCATTCAGCGCGGGCTTCACTTCTTTCCAATTAACCACAGTCTCCCATCCCAGCCTGATTTCTTATAGAAACTTCCAGCTACGTCCATTCAGCTGGTCTTAGAGCTCCAAAAGGTCACCAAATATTTACAGAGTTTTTGTTCTAATGATCACTGCCAAAAATCTACTTCAAGAAAACCAACAGAAGTTATGCACGGTCTTTCTCAGTAAAGAGTTCTTTCTGTGAACTGTCTGATGAGCATCTTATGATAAGCACTGCAGTAGCATTTATGTTCTCCCCCTGGAGTAAAGACATTTTAGAAACTGCGTTTAAAACTTCAGGATCACAAAAGCACCACATCTTATTTTGACTCGTTGAAAAAAAAGTTTTCATTATGATCAAAATTTTGCCACTTCCAGGAAAATGGAAGGTCGTTAAAAAGTTCAACCAAATCATCTAGAGACTATTTTAGATTCCTTCAACTTAACTATCTTTTCTCTTAAGGACAGTTGCAGAGTCTCAGTAAAGGGAGTGGGGGGAATTCCTAGGACTAAAGCCTAGAGGGGAGCTGGAGGGGATGGAATTTGTGATTTTAAAAGGCTCTACAAAAAAACAAAAGCGTGCTGTTCAGAGCTGGGGAAGGCAGGGCCGTCACAGGGACTGTGCTTAGAACCTCGCTTTGTAGAAGGCTTCTCTGGAAGGTAGAGGGTCTTCCTCCTTGAGAACTAAAGGGGAACCTCTATCACCCTAAGTGTGACTCCAAACAAAGGTGGCTAGCAACGTCTGGAGCCCTCCACGGAAGCAAAAAGAGAAGGAAGAGAATAATTTTTATTTTTCTTCCTTATTCCGACACACCAGTATTTCCCAAAACACAAATGTGCTGCCACAAAACACAGCTGAGCTCCAGCACCCAACAGGATGTATAATTAATGACCAAGAGAAAGCACTTGGGTTCACCCTGGCCTTTTAGCACCAGCCTTCACCTCGAATCCCTGGCTCCCCAAGGTCTTCCCTTAATGGCCAGGAGGCTGCTCTAAGTTACTGCACTCTATGAAGTTGGAGGCCCCGGGATTAACTTTACCAGAAAAGATGCAAGCATTCGGGAGGACCAAGATGTGTATCTGCCTGGCCCTCTCTCCCCCTAGACATCCCACCCTCCCAAAATGTGGGTGCTGCGAAGTCCTCAGGATGGCATTACTCAACAAGAAGGCAGCTCTGATTCTTTTTCCCAGTTCTTTTTTTTTTTTTTTTTTTTCCCTGCAGTTTTCTATCAAACAACATCCCCCGTTCACCACCCCTGCCACTGGCGGACGGCAGAGAGGGACATCTCAAGGGACATAGTCACAGACCAGTCGGCCTGCCTAGCAACCATACATCGAAGGTGTTCTGAGCCTTGGCGCGTGGTGGGTGTCTGTCTGAGCCATGAATAGCCCAAAGCTGCATCCAGCCGGGAAGGGGCTCCTCACCGCGGCCTCTGCTGACTCTCTTAGCTGGTGGCCCTCATGCTCCAGCTCCGCGCTGCTAGTGGCATTTCCGGGGACCCCCAGTGGGTGGCCTTGGGGGACCAAAGAACGCAGGCAGCCAAACAACTCGGGGTAGGGTAGATTCAACACGAAAATCTAAGGGATGGAGTGGAGGTGGCATCAGATTTGCCACTTCGCCATAGCCCTAAAGTCACAGCCCCCTGCGTTGCTTCCAATTCTGGGATGGGTCTCCCCAACTTTGTCCCCAACACCACCACCACCACCAAGGAACACCAGTTTCTGTGGTCATGATCCTCCCAAGGGATTCCCTAGCGCAAAAGCTTTTCTCCATTGCCTAAAGGACCTTCCCTTCTTTCGGACCCCAGGAACTCATCTCCCCAACAGGTTCCCGAAGTGTGGGCTGCCGCGTTCTCTTCGCCCATCGCAAGAAGCCCAGGCGCGGCAGGTGAGCGTGGCCCCAGCTTCTTCCGTCCCAGTGGGGGTGGCTCTTCTCGCCCCGCACCACGGCACCTGAAAGACGCGCGTTCCCTATCCAGGTTCCAGCCGCAGCCGCCCAAAACCTCACAATAAACAAGGGGATGGGAGCGGGCGTCCGAGTCTCGGAGCGCACCGACTGGGGGCAACTCCTCGATCCGCGCGCCATCCGCCGCGGCAGCCCGAAGGCGCAGGGAGCGCAGAGAGCAAAAAGGCTGCGAGGCGAAGGCGGCGGGGACGCAGGCAGCGCGGCGCGCACGGGGCGAGGAGTGGGCTGCGGCGGGCGCCGGGAGGCGGCGAGGTTGGAGCGGGGGGCGGACGCGCGGGGTGCGCGTTACCTTCGTCTTGCCCCCGCAGTGACAGCAAACGGTCCACAGGTACTTGAGCGTCCGCCAGAGCAAGATGATGAAGAGGCCCCCGAAGAAAGTCACCATGGAGGAGGCCAGGAAAGCCCACCACATGCGTTGGCCCCGGCTATCGCACGGCACCTCCATGGTCACCGGGATGATGAGCGCATCCATCTTGGGCTCGTGGACCGAGGACGAAGAGGAAGAGGAGGAGGAGGAAGAGGAGGAGGAGGAGGAGGAGGACGCGTCTAGGCTGAGATGGTTCGCGTGGATATTGCTGCTCATTCTAAGACTGCTGCCTCCGCCGCCGTCGCCGCCGCTGCTACTACTGTCGCCACCGCCGCCGCCGCCACCATTTGCCATAGCTAGCAGCGGGCGGCCGGCGCAGGGGCTCTGGGGAGCTCCTCCCGCCGCCAGCGCCACCCCGAACACCCATCCACAGCCATGTTGCTGCCACCGCGGCGGCCGCGGAGCGCGGGGAGGGGGCGGGGAGGCGCTGGGCTGGGGCGCTGTGCGCGACCTGGCGGGGTGCGCGGGGATATATACAGCCAGTCGCGCCGTCCGCCCTCCCCCGGCCGCCGGCCCGCCGGGGGGAGGGGGGGGCCGGTGCGCGCGGGCGGCTCCCCCGCCCCGGCCCGCGCCCCGAGCGCCCCAAGCGAGCGCGCGAGCGCGCGCTGAGACCCAGGGGGCGCCGCGGGCCGCCCGCGCCGGGGGTCTGCACCGCCCCCCAGGCCGCCCGGGATCCGCGCGCGGGCCCGGGAGCCCTCGGCGCCGCGCCTCCCGCCGTGCGCCACGCGTGTGCACCGTGCTCTGGTGGGGCACCCCTCCCCGCGCGCCTCCCGCTCCGCGAACCAGCGGCTCTCCGCTTGGGAAGCGGAGACTCGTTAATAAGGCAGACTCGGCCCCTCCGCCCGGGCGTCCCCCGCGCCAGTCCGTTCGCCTCTCCGCCTGCGCCCTGCTCCCAGTCGCCGCCCCGGTGCGCGCCGGGCCGCGCGGCAGGTTGCCTGCGCCTCGCACCGCCGCCGCCCGCTAGCTCAGGCTCCCGGGACCCCCGAGCCGCGTCGCCACCGCGCAGCGCCTCCTCGGCCTCCGCGCGGTCTTCCTCCTCGCCTCCTCTAGGTCCTCCTCGTCCCCGTCCTCGCCTCCCGAGCCTCTTCCGCGCGCGCCCCGCGCTCCCCGCAGCCGCCAGCAGTGGCAGCTGCAGCAACTGGAGCGGGCGCGGGCTCAGGCCGCCCGGAGCGGGGGGAGGAGGCTCGCTGCTCTGGCTTGCCTGGGGTTGGGACCGAGTAGAGGCAAGAAGATCCCTCGGAGGTGGCCCGGCACGCGCACCCTAACCCCCGACGAGCAGGGTACAGCGCCCCCCGTCCAGGCACGGAACCTGACACCTTCTCCAATGTGCTGCATTCTAACCAAGCTCAGGAGGGTGGGGAAGATCTGAGACGACAGGGCATCAAGGGGGCAAACAAGTTTTTCCAAAGGAGCCTCCACTAGGGAGGGGAAGAGGGGCCAGTTGTCAACTGGATTCCACAGGCTAAGAACCCCATTACCGTCGGGTTTCCCCAACCAGGATGCATAAGCTTATGGACCCCTTGCTTCTCTTCTCCTTGCTTCCTGGGCGCCCCCTGCCCCAACAAAGAGGAAGACCATCAAGGAGGCTGGTGGGTGGTCTGTGGCCTCTGACAACAGCAGGTGGTTTTACTCTCTTTTATTATTAAGCCTCCAGGGTGCCTGGGACACAAGGCCCTGGCATGGTGCAATAGGGATCCTCAAAGTGTGGCTCCACCTCTATCTAGTCTCAGATCCATCTGTCTTCTGAGGGGATACTCCAGACTTTATTTGGGTCTTCTTTCCCCCGTTGAGCATCTTCCCTGATTCGATCCATGTAGTTCCTGTAGACCCCATCCCCACACCACCAGGGAAATCCCTCTTCCAATGCTTGGAAACTTGCAACCTCTGGGCACCATCCTGCCTCAACTACCGGCTGGGTCACAGTTTTTTCAAGGCTAATTAAAACAAAAATGATCACCCTCTTCCCCTCACTGTCCACAGTGATTTCCCCGAAGTTTCCAGCTCATTAGTTCCAGTCTAATTGAAATTCTCAGGATCCTTTAGGTTCTTCCCGGGGTCCGGGCCCAAGTGAGCAGCCTTACCCGCAGAGCTATCTCTGCCCCAGTCAAAGGTGTGCCTGTCAGCTTGCAGGGGCAGAGAGGGGCTGGGAAAGCCAGGCTGGATGAAAGACAGAAGGAAATGTTAGAGGCTCCAGTCCATTGGTTCAGAATATACTCATGGGCTCAAATGTGCATGGTCATCAGAAACAGGTTAAGGCAGGAGTTAAAGGATCACATGGGACATGGTGAGAATTCCTAAGTATTTGGTACCCAAAAAGAGAACTGCCGATAGTATTTTCCAGAAAGTGAAATTGTCTGACTCTTTCCTTTATGTCCACCGATGATACCTTGGAGTCCAGCAGCCACTCTTCCATGTAAGCTCCACACATGCAAAGGCCCCAGGTCTTTTCCATCTTGGGACTGGGGAGCCAGACTGAGAAGGGCTGTGGAGAGGTGCAGGGTGACTGCGGCATTGAGGCTCCCTTATTTATTAGCCTTCTGAACAGCCGTGTTCTTTATGGCCATTGTGCCTTGGCATATGCCAAGGAAGTTAAGGACTTGCCTTAAATCAAGCCCAAGATTTGCAATTTAAAAATAAAACACCCATAATATAAAAAGAGCAGCAAAGGACAGGACTGTCTCCGGGGGTGGTACGAAGCCTCTGAAATGGATTCCTTCACTCACAAAACCGAATTTATGAAAAACAACAAATCGTCGCTGGGGCCTTTCTGGACAGCAACCCTATAACTTGATGCCCCTAATGGGGCTCTTTGCAAAGTCCCCAACTGTGTTTCCCCTTCATGAGTGTCTTCATGGTCTAAGCATCTTTCGAGAGGGTGCAGCAAGCCCCCCCAGACACACACACACACACACACACACACACTCACACACACCATCCACACCATCTCCTCTTATTTCCTCTGCTTTTGTTGATGAAGCTTCTAACAACTTCCCGGTTATCCAAAACTTCAGTTTAACTGGGAATCATTGGAGACCCTCACTGTGGATGCCGGAAACCTTCCATCCTGTAACATCCATCCCTTCCCCACTTCTCTGACCCAACAGCACAGCCTAGATAGGATTCTGCTGCCCTCCTTCGGGATCAGCTGTCACTAGGCCTTTGCCCACTCTCTCCAGCCACACCACATTATCTACAAACTTCTGCAGCACATTCAGAAAATCTGGTACGTGGCCCTCCTGATTTCAGAACAGCTTTGCCTAGACACACTGGGGCCTCAAACTCAAGGGGAGACTTAGGTTCTTTTGCTAGTTATGCCTCCTCATTGGCAAGACTGGAATAAGCCTAGAAACTACTCAGCCTACCTCAAAGGGTTATGTGTAAGAATGAAAAAGGAAACCTTACATATTACAACCAAGACAGTAGTAACTGTGGCCCCCAAAATTGGATAGGTCAGATTGTCTGACCCCACATCTGCACTCGTGTGTGCGTGCACTGTGCTCTGCAGGAAATATGGGGACAGGACAGCAGCCCCCTGAACCCAATTTGCTGTTTTGCACCCCACAGACCCCTGGGCTGGGATGAGGGTTGGACACACTGTATGCTGGTACTTCTGTCATTCCGCAACGTAGAGTTCTCAGCAGCTTCCAGGTGGCAGAGCCCCTCCAGCCTGCATGGGCTCTCTGGGCTCCATCACCCATGCCCACATGGTGTCTTCCTACTCCCTGCATGTTCCTGGAAATGACCGGAGAACAGAGAAGCACCTACAGACAGCCCAGTTCGTCTTCACCTGCTGTGATTGTGCCTGCAGGCTGGGAGTTCAGCACTACTGTTGTGCAAGACCTGAAAGTCAAAACAAAAGCAAAAACCTCACCCTGTGTTCTAAATACAGCATAAGCCGCTTGTTTGCTTCTAAACTCATTTAAAAGCTTCCCAGGGAGGAGGCAGCCTCTTTGCCATGTGCACATGTCTACGGCAGCATTCAAAGAAAAGCAGGGGTTTCACATTTCTAAAGTGCTCTCCTCCAAACAGTCCTAACTCCCTTAAAAGAAATAAAGCCAAGTGCTTAAACACAAACTAAAAAAGCGGAACGATTAAAGGGCAAGAGGAACATGAAAGGTTATTTGCCTAGATGCTGGCCCAGCAGGACTATTATTGTATACTGGATTTTGTTTTTCTCTGGCCCAGACCCGATTCCAACTCTCTGACATTAATCCTTCTGCGCTGTAGAAGTCTGGTGCTGACTTAAGTGATCTGGCGTCCCCTGGTGGTTTATCCTAGCACATGACTGTTGGAGGCGCATTCAAACCTGAAATTTGAGAAGTGAAGAAAATGGGGAGGCAAAGTCCCTAAGTAAACAACTGTAGCCACACAGGGACTGAGAGACACATTGAGGGGAAGGATACAAAATTCCAGCTACTCAGGAAAAGCAAGTCCAGATCTATTTTACAGCACGATGGCTACAAATGATAACAAAGTTACTGTATGCTTGAAATTGCTGAAAGACTTAAAAGATTCTCATCACAAATGCTAAACCATAGGCATGTGAGGCAGTGCATGTTGGATCGCTTGATTTAACTGTTTCACAATAGTTGTCAAAATGTCATGCTGCACACCATAAATATACACAATTTTTGTTAATTTGGGTGAAAAAAGAGGGAAAAAAATTGCAATCACAACAATATTAGCCTGCCAGTTACCAGTGCTACCAGTATACAACTGTTGGAATATGAAGGTAGCTAACAGGATTTGTGCTCTGGTGCAATCCGATTGTCACCTCTTGGCTCTGACTGCAGCTGGTGACCCCACTTTCTGTAAATCATTATTCCACTGAGTCCCCAAACAGCAGAGCCTCACCCACTCACCCACTGTGCTAGTCTTCATAATGTCTTCCTGATGTGAAAAAAACAGTAGCTCTTTCCCCACTGCCCGGAGGCTTGGTTCTGTGGAGTTACTTAGTATGAAGGAAAGTCTGTTGCCTTTAAAACAGTTTGTCATTCTGTGAGCTGTTACAAAAGAGGAAGACTACAGTGGCCCAACCCAGCAAACTAAGCCCCAGAGCCTCTGAGTGCCAGAGCTCCCCCTGGGTCCCAAATGGAGAGAGACTCGGAGAACAAGGTGGGGAGGCTTTATCTTTTTCATAAGCATTTCTCTGTCTCTCTCTGTACTATAAGAATAACTCAGACTTACTGTAAACAATTTGGAATATAAAAGTCTCCTAAGAAAATATAGAAATCATGTACAATCCCATCACCTACAGATAACCAACCACTCCTAATAATTTTACATGCTTCTTTTATCCTCCCATCCATGTGTGCCTCTGCAAACTAAAGGTTAGATTGAATATGTAACACCCATCAACATTAAATTGGAAGCATTTCCTCCATGTCATTAAATATCATGGAAATCGCACCTTTACAAAAGAAGTAACTGCGTAATATTCCTAGACTGTAGGGCAGCCCTCTTTGTTTTTTAAAGCATCCAAGTCAGGGCTGTTGGAGAAGACAGTGCCACATCCTCGTAGTCCCGCCTGCC